TACTAGTCACAGGCTGTAGTACTGTACCATTGTACTGTCGTCTAACATTTACTGTCACTTTATTTGAATGAAGTAGTTTTACATCACCTGACACCGTTTCCTTCCCTTGCTGTAATAAAGCCCTTTGACCGAATGCAGCTCACAGGAGCAGGGAGGATTTGTTGGCTTATACTTCCAGGTCACAATCCACTCAGCAGGAACCCGAAGCTCCATGGAAGGCAGCTGCTTGTTAGCTCACTCCCAGGCTCATGCTTGGCTAGCTCTCTTGTTCTTTTATTTGTTTGTTTGTTGTTTATGGTGTGTGTGTGTGTATGTGTGTGTGTGTGTGCCTGAGTGTTTTTATGTGTACTATATGTGTGCAAGGGCCTGCAGAATTCAGGAGAGGGCATCAGATCCCTTTGAACTGGAGAGCTGTCATGTGGATGCTGGGAATTGAACCTAGGTCCTCAGCTAGAGCATAAAAGCTCCTAACTTCGTCATCATTTCCCTAGCCTCTAGCTTTTTTTCTCTTTTTCATTCAATCTCTTGTAGCCTCTTATCCTTAGACAGCTGAGGGAAAAAGCTGTTTTATACTGGGACTCACCCAAGATTTGAGATTTGACAATTTTAAAATAAGCACACACATCACACAGATACACACATACTAGACACATCACAAACATGCTTGCACACACACAGATACATACACACATCACAAACATACACTCAAAGATACACTACATACACACACCACACACATATCACAAGTGTACACACACAGATATACCACATACATACACCCATACACACAACACACATCACAAACACATGCACACAGATACACACATATCACACACATTGCAAACATACATGCACACACACACAGATACATACACACATCACAAACACACACTCAGAGATACACCACATACACACACACACATCACAAATGTATACACACACAAACAGATACACCACACACACACACACACCATATGCATAGATGATGCACCACATACAGACATCACAAACACGCTCAAATACACCACACACACCACAGATGCACACACACACACACACACACACACACACACATGCAGCCTTCCTATCTTTCTGCATACCTCTTCCTGCCTCCACACTGTAGCAGAGGGCGGAACTTCCCATGCTGCACTCACATTGGGGAGGAGAAACCTAGAGAGTAGCATCTTTCTGCCTAAGCCAGTGTCCTCTGCACGGCGCTGTAGGCAGTAGCCTTTGGATTTGGTTCCTCTGTGGGGTAGGCGGCAGTTAGACCCACAGTGTAGGTCTAAAGTGGGGATAGCATTCATGAAATCCATGAAGTGGAGTGCACTTGTGAGGTGTGGTTAGATAAGCCATAATTATGGTTGCTTCTTGGTGACTAACTGTTTGGGTTAGTAATGTAAGTTGGTAGAGACATACCTGTATGTGAGGTTGTGTTTTCTCCACCCAGGGAGGGTGTAGCCATATTGCCGCACATCGGGCACCCCACACCTGGGCACCTTCATGATCTCGAGGGTGTCTGAGTTCAGCTTTCCTGTCACTGCCAATCCAAAAAATGCCTGCATTTCCCGAAGCTGGCTGTCCGAGAGATTCCCGTTCCTGGTTTGGACAAGGTGACTGCCTTCTACTTCAAGAGAGTAGAACTGGTTGAGATAGGCCTGACCAGAAAAAAAAAAAGACAAAAGAGAACGAAGGCTACAAATATTAATATTCACATATTCTCCTCAAATGAACCAGAGGCCTGAGAGCTAGCTCCTTTGGCCGCAGGGAAGATAAACAGGAAATAAGCAGCAAGGGGAAGAGGGCAGGATGCACAGGGACAGGGGGAGCCACTTTTTCTTCCAGTGCCAGGAATCACTGATTTACGAGTGACAAGTTAGTCAAACCACACATGCCCACATGCCCGCGCCCTCTGCTAAGCTCTCTGCTTGTGGGGTGCCACGCAGCTTGTATGTTTTTGCTGTTCCTTTTATCTTGCAAATCTCAGGAGACATCAGGGTGATTATCTACTTTCACACTTACATGATTTAACCAAAATATGATAAATTAAGAAGCTTTCAGAAGGAATTGCTAAGGCCGCAAACTTTTCACATGTGCATTTACATATATGCATACATATGAACATATGCACATATACACATCTATACATATACATGTATTTATGTATTTGTCTGTATATACACATACACAGACACATAAAGTGTATGTGCCTAAAGGGTTCTAGATTATAGATTTGTGTGGAATGTATTTATGCAGAGGTTTGTCTTCCTAAACTCTTTCTTCTCTCATGTTAACTCCTTGGTGACCAGTTTAAGGTGCATAAATTCAGTCTCCTCTCCTCTGTCCCTTTCCCGCCTCATACCCAGTTCACATCTTTAGGCAACGGCAGGGCCCTCACTCTTCTGAGAACCTCTGGGATGATGCCAGAATTTGCTGTCTTGGGAGGTCGGAGAGAAGCTAGGGAGAAGCTAGACAAGGGACATTTTATTGCTAGTTGCTGACAGCACGTGTTGAGATCCTACCTGGGCCAGCTGATGGCTTCCCTCATCTTTGTCCTTTTGCTCTGGAGGAAATGCAGAAGACAGTGTCATAAGGTTAAGCAGCAGGGGCAGAAGACACTTCATCCCTACCTCTTCAGTTACAGCGTGTTCTGCTTTCATGAGATTTAGCAAGTTCTCAGTGAAACGTGGCACTAAGTGTTCATTTAATTACTCACAGCAAAGGACACTTGCCACGAAGCGTCCCGTGACTCCCCCCGCCCTAGAGAGCCTGGAATTTTGCAACCAGAGCCTGTGATTGTTTATCTAGCATATTATTGCTCACTTTTGAATTGAGTGTATTGCATAGCAAGGGCCCAGTTAGCTTTCTCTTTTCAAAATTGGTAGTTTTCAACATGAATTTCGAAACATTTTTCTGCTGGGAAGTGATAGCATATCTTGGCATTTGATGTGTAAAGACAATTGACTCAGGAATTAGGTTAAGCAAAATATAGCATGGTGCTACAGTCCCGGCTTCTATATGAGTTCTGGGGATCCTAGCTTATCTCTTCCATGTGTCCAGCAAATGCTTCACCCACTGGGCATCTGCCTGGCTCTGTGTTGTTAATTGTAAGGAGTGCTGTCTAGTGACTCACCCATTTGTTTATTTGTATGTATTATGGTTGGTATTTGGATGTTTTCTCTAATATGTCTTTTTCATGGTGGTGATGTTAAACATTCCTTATTTTGACTTTTTTTTTTTTTTTTTTTTTTTTAACCAGGATTGTCTCTCATTTCTCAGACTTTCTCGTTTGGTCTTCATTTTCCACATTACAAACTTTCTTCAAATGTTTGGTGGCTCTGTGATGTACAATGTTTGGACTATAGGGACAGACCGTCTTCTGGAGGCTGTTATATTCGAGGATGCACTGGGAAGTCAGAAAGGTCCCTTGCTGTGTCTTAGGACTTCCATGTATTAACCAGAGTGGGATTTAGTTGAACACAGCAGAAAAATTCACAACAGTAGATGTTTTAATAATACTAAAATTTATGTTTTCCTCATGGAAGAATGGCCTAGATTTGATAGTCCATGGCTTCTAGGATGACTCCATGTCACCAGGGTCTGAGAGTCACTACACCTGCATTGCAGGCAGCACAACACATCGAAGGAAGTTCTTAATTTCCTTTGAGAAATCACACGCAATATTTAGCTTACACATTAGATTCACGCCACACCTATCTGTAGGGGAGGCTGTAAAGTCTTAATGTGTGCGGTGCTAACCCTGACCCTGGATAGGGAGGGAAGTACATCTGCTTTCCCCAGACTGCTAAGTTTCTCCACAACAGACTCCTCCAATTTCCTGCCACCTCTGTCTCCTAGCAGCAAACCCACAGCAGGCATCTTTGATGTCCCCCCACCCCATGGCTTCCTCTCCACACACCTCTGCTTTGCACAACTCACCTTCTTGGGCAAACTGTGAGTCTTTCTGCCTCTGGGATGACATGGAGTTGCCAGTCAGTTTGAAATACAGCCTAGAAGTGTAGGAATTAAACACTCCCAGAAACAATTCTCTCCCAGTCAGGGCTGGGAAATGGTGACATATTCCCCTGGCTCCTGTATGAGAGATTCTGTGGGGTTCTCAGTAGGTCCTGGGGGAACCAAGAGCCAGATGCTCACAGAAGGAATCTTCATGACACACGCTGTTCTCTGTCTGCTTCCCCTCTCCTCCCATCTCGCCCACAGGCCGTCCTTCCTTTACTTCTGGAATCACACCACTCTCCCAAAATGATTGCTCCAAAGTCTTCATTTAGGGGTTGCTTTTGAACAAATTCAAAATAAATGTCGAGGAATGTCATAGTGTAAATCTAAGCTTAGCTCCTTGTGTCTCTTGTGCTCACATAAATGTGACAGCTAGAAAATGCCCATGACTCATCCCGAAATGTAAAAATGATATTTGGGTCAACAATCTGTCAAGACCAGTCCACGGATGTTCAGGCAAAAATGTTCTTCTTGCTTTTATACCTTTAAAAACTGTCATGTCAGGAAGTTTTAGAAATAGGGGACCAGACACACTGACGGTGGTTGACAGAGGAAGAGAAGAGACAGTTTATGAACGCCTGACATTGACGATGATTGACAGAGCAAGAGAGAGCTTGTGGGCTTTCTGCTCTTTCTGGTTTGGCTTCTTAAAGGAGGGAACAGAGAGAATGGGGAGGAAGTGAGCCTGTCCTTCTGTTACTGCTCTGGGAAGCCACCGCAGAGTCCTCAGCAGGGTGTGACTGGACCTTCTCTGTTGGCTTCTTTTCTTAACTGACGATGTCAATGCAGCTGAACTTGATGGTGGCATTTTCATTTTTGTTATTTTTGTGTTTTGTTTTTAATCCTGCTGCCAGAAATTGAACCTAGGACCTCATGCATGCTAGTAAAATGCTCTATCACTCAGCAGCATGCTCCAGTGGTCTTAGGTGCTGATGCACGCTGTTGGCTTTCCAGAGCTTCGGTAACAAAGGAACACATATTCGGTAGAGTAGAAAAACAAATGTATTTATTTTTTCACAAATCAGTAAGTGTCTCAGTACCAGGATCTGCTTGGCCCCGTCCTACCTGGCACAGGCTGGGGAAGAACAGGCAATCAGCCTTACAGATGCATCACTCCTGTGTCTGGTTCTCTTTGCTTGGTCTCATCCAATGTATAGTTCTGCCTCTGGTGGTCCTCTCCCAATGCTGTCAGAACCAAACATGCTAGGCAAATGCTTTACCTCTGAGTTATATGTGCATCCCTCTCCCCTTTCTATAAGGACACACATGTGGGCTCAGGGCTCACCCTTAATAAAGCCATCTTCTCCCGTACACACCATTAATTCTGTTCGAAAAGACTCCAGGTACAGATACACATCTGGGGTTAAGATTTCAGTGTGGTTTTGTTTTAATGTTCTTGGCATGAAGAAGAGCATGGCTGAATTCGAAAAGTGTGTTCTCGCAAGGGAGGAGACAACAGCACTTTTTTATTTTTCTTTTTGTAAAGACAGGGGCAGTAATCTCTGTGTTGTTTATAATCCTATGTGTAATCAAAATCCAGTGCTAGATTTTGTTCAAAGAGATTCAGGAATACTGGGAATCAGATAAGCAAGGTTTAGGAGGCCGAGGGCAGAAGGGCAGATAATGAAACAGCCTGTGTTAAGCTGAAGAGTGATTTGCTGTCTCTGTGTTTACTAGCTGGGCATGGGATGTGCAGAAGCAATCAGTCTAGAACAGGAGATTACAGACACCGTTTCTTCCAGGATGGCTACAGAGTTAGCCACAGTTGAGGAAAGGGTAAGTAGGACACACGGGATGTACATGCAGGCTGAGTTTTCCTTGTGCATTCATAGATCCAAGGACATTCAACGTTACTTCAACTCAATGGACAGTTAAGCCATACATTGCTTCTTGAGATTCTAGTGACTGTGTGAGTGACAAGATTAAATGCAAAATACTGTGATCCACTGAAGAAGAGGAAGAAGGCTGTAAGAAAGAGACAAATGCCAAGTTAGCTTAGGGATCCTAGGCATCTGAACGACAGTCCCGCCAAGTAGACCAAACAATAAACATACAGGCACAACTGTGCTCTTTTACACACTTGAACAGTTTTGTTAACTTTTTTCTACTTACAATCCTGCAGGAAAACTGCATCAATTCTACAGTTTATCCCCGGGAAAGCACTTGATATGCTTCTGGGATAACCTGGGTCCATGGATCCTCTTCTATTGTCATAGCTAACGAGAACAAAGCATCATACGACTTAGGAGCAATACACACGACAGCTTTCTTTTAATTTGTGTACATTACAAAGTGAAGTACTCACTTATAAATTTTCACATTAAATCTTCACTGTGCCCAGTTTGCTGAGATTAAGAAAGCTTAACTTCTCTACCTAATATTTTGTTTGTAAAACACGTGGGAGTCACTGAATCTGAAACAGCATTCTGATCACTAATTAGGGGTTATTTCCTCAAACTAGAGCCTATATTTTCCAAACATTTTACTTACTCAGTAAATTAAGCATAATAATCGTGTGTATGTATGTGCATGTGTATATAGTGTACACATTGTTTTATTAATATTTTTCTTAGCATGCAAAGTAATGGGTCTGATTATGGCCCTTTCACACTTATTCACCATTGTTCATTCATATTCACGCCTCCATTGTTCTCCCTTTTAGCCCCTCCCACCGGTCCCCTTCTTTCCTACAGAGAATCCCTCTTCTGCTTTCTTGTTTTAATAACTTCCTGTTGTGCACCAATGATGTGAACACATTCATTTGAGAACATCAGAACTCAACTCATAGTAAGAATCAGCCTTACTTCTTTCTCCATGCCCCACCCTCAAGCTTTACAAGGATTCTACTTCTCATGACGCAGAATCCTCAACACATTTGTGTAGGCACCTTAACGTGATAAAAACGAAAACTTCAAAGCCTGTGGCAACATCATCTTGTGTGAAGGTCACGTCCTCCCTAAGTCTATCAGAGAACATGTAGCGCAAGCTGTCTCTGGATGTCCATGCTGACGGTTTGTACGCAGGGCAGAGAAACACAGATTTCAACTTTAATGGAAGAACTCATTCCTCTCACCTCCAGAATTGGTTGTTTACGAAGAAGTACGTCTTCCCACTATAGGAAACAGCTGCATCAATGGCTTGGACGCTGCTTGGAAATCCATAGTTGGAAATATCTCTGGGGTAACCTTGCTGAATGTCATAGCCCCTTAGAGCCCAGTACTGTCTGCCTGCCAACAATGTAGGAAACGTCTTTAACAAAGTTCTTCTTTTTCTAGAATATGATACGTAGTAATGAAAACGGAGCAGTCTGTGAACAATGGCAGTGTCAAAGCGTAGCTCCTGCCTGTGATGGCGACCCTTATAAACAGCCCCTGCTCCTGAGTGTGGGGGCAGTCTCAACGTTTCCTCTCTCAACAGCAAACATTTCACCCTGCCATTCAAGGCCCCCAAACCAGATGTCTTCCTGGTGTGACTTACGTACAGAAACTAAACCACAGCTTTGAGTCGTCTTAGAAATTAATCTAGGATGAAGGCAGAGAGACATGAAGATGGTCTTGTGAGTTGTATTTGTGGAGGACAGTGCTAAAACCCAATAAGGGACCAGCCTGTGCAAATCCCTTCGGTTGTTCATGACCATGATGGGGCTTAAGCCTGAACTCCTGACAAGGGTCTGGCTAGCAGCATGTTCTTCCTGGATTGTCCTTCCTGAAGTGCTGTGGGGCAAAGAAGTTGTACCCCACTCCCCAGGAAGAACAGAAAACGGAGGATATAGTAGGAGGTTACCTTTGAATAGGAAAACTAGGTCTCTGTCAAAATCCTCATAGGCAGCCTGAAGGCCACTGGGTAGGAATGGCCAGAACAGAGAGATGAAATTGAGTTCGACTTCTCGAAGCTGAGGGTGCCGCCTCCAGAAGTATCTAAAGAAACATAAGGACCAGTGTGGGAGTGGGGAGGGAGAGAGTGACACTTTCTGTGATGCTTGGCTACAGCTGACCCTTGCCTGGTTTCCACAGTATATACATGTATAGCACATGCACGATTTATGGTACTGATGCTCATCTGGTGGTCCCTTGACAGATTTTGGAGGTCCCTAGCATGCTCTTATATGACCCCATTTGGCAATGTGCCCTCTTCCCACCCTGACAGACCTAAGTTGGATAGGGCCTCTCAGTGTTTAATAGGTTAATACTGAAAGAGCCTAACCACATCAGAAATGCTTCTGGATGTTGGATGTTTTAGTTCCCCCAGCCTTTGGATGTTTCATGATATCTAGAGAACACTAAGAATTTCAAGGAGATGTCTATGTGATGGGTCAAAAGGCAAGTTGACTGATGTTTCACTGGAATCCACTTTTAAGGTCTGAGAGAGAGATAGACATGTGCAAAGAAGGGACAGCTCAATTTTATACTTGTCTTTGAAGAAGTAAATCTCCCCTCGGAGTGTGGTAATAGCATCAAATCTCAGGCGGGGGTCACAGGCTGTGGGTGTGCTGGGCCCTGTAGGTTGGATAGGGCTGTTTGAAGGTCCTGGGGGAATGAAGACATTTAATTAGTGTTGGCCCGTGCTGCTTTCGGTGTGGTTCAGATGCTTAGGAAGATAGGGTGTCTCTTCATGAGGAAAAAGTCACCAGCTGATTCCACAAGACACAGAAGACTCTGTACATGTGACCCCTTACAGGCCAGGTCTGTTATCAAGAGTAAGATGGCTCCTACGTAAGCTGGAAAGTCATTGGAGTTCTGTGCTTCCTCGATTCTGATCCACCCTTCTCCCTCCTGTTTCCTCTTTCTGCCTCTTGTCATTGAGAATCCACCTTCTTGTTCCTTCGAAATCCAAACACAAGGATAGATCTCATATCGGTCTTTTACCCTACTGCATAAATCTAACTCAGGTTTTTGTTTTTTTAATAAAAATGTATATCTTGGCTGGGCATGGTAGCTATAGTGGTTTGTAAGAAAATGGCTCTCAAGATGTAGACTTGTTGGAGGAAGTGTGTCACTGTAGAGGTAAGCTCTGGTATGTCACTGTAGAGGTAAGCTCTGAGGTCTCATATATGCTCAAGCCATGCCCAATGAGACAGACCACTTCCTGTTGCCCACAAGTCAAGATGTAGAACACTTGGCTACATGTAGAACATCTCCAGCACCTTACTGACCTACATGCCACCATGTTCCTCCATGATATTAATGGACTAAACCTCTGAACTATAAGCCAGACACCACAATTAAATATTTTTCCTTGGTGAGAGTCACCTTGGTCATGGTGTCTCATCACAGTTATAGAAACCCTAAGATAGTATCACAGGTTTTATAATCCTAGCACTGTGGATACTGAGGCAGGAGGATTGTAGGTTTGAGACTAGTCTGGACACAGAGTGAGACAATGTCTCAAAATATTAAATAAACACACAGTGACTTATATCTTTCTGAATTTCCCCATTGTGAAATTAAGAGTTGTTCTTTCCACTAAGAAATACTAGAGCAGCAAGAGAATTGAAAGAATTGGCTGGCAAAGCAAGTGATTGCTGGCATGCGTTGGGGTTTGGGGATTCGAGTAAAGTTCCTTGTTCTTAGAAATTCTGCAGGGATGAGAACATTCTCTGACGTGATCCCACCGCAAGAGGAGAGAGGTCTCCCTCCCATCCCACAGCCTCCCATACTTTCAGGGAGCAGGGGCAAAGGGGGATAGATCCCTTCCTAGGTCCTCCACCTTCCTCCACCACAGATCATCCTCACTAAACATCCTCGAAAGGCCTCATACATGCCCACTTAGGGATCTATGTGAGGATTTCTCCAACAGATGATTCTGGGAGGAGATTTGTTGTGTGAAAAGGGGTAATACCATTTTTTTTAAAAAAAAAATATAAAATTGGAAAGCATAAAAATGGAGGAAGAAAATGTCCCTTCCATTTAGAAGCAATTATGGGGAAGCACTTCTATACATTTCTCCAAGTCTTCCCTCTCTCCCTTCCCTCCCTCCCTCCCTCGCTCTCCTCCCCCTTCCTTCCTCCCCTCCCTCCCACATTCCCCTCCTTCCCTCCCTCCCTCTCTCTCCTCCCCCTTCCTTCCTCCCCTCCCTCCCACATTCCCCTCCTTCCCTCCCTCCCTCTCTCCCTTTCCTTTCCTTCCTCCCCTCCTTTCTCTCACTTCCCTTCCTCCCTTCTTCCTCTTCCCCATTTTTTTTTTCTTGAGACCAAGTCTTACCATGTGGTCCTGATCCTCCTGCCTCATGAGCCTGAGTGCTATTACAGATAAGGGCCAACAGTCCTGTCCTCCAGCCTTCCCGTGAAGACAGTAATAGACATCTAATAACTAAAAGCCGTGCTGCAGAGAAATCCCATCAGAGGCTCAGTGTGGTGATATCTTGCTGCTTGTACAAATAAAGCCTCCTTTGCCACCGCTACATGGCTGGTGACTTTCAGAGATCAATCTGTTTCCCTTGTGCATAGTGTCCAGAGATCCCAAAGGAGACATGCTTTATGCTGGGCCTGCTGGGATGGGTCCCCAAGTCCAGCTGTGCCTTGCCATGCTCTCACATGACTTACCATAGAGTGTCTGAATGCCATGCTCTCACATGACTTACCATAGAGTGTCTGAATGCCATGCTCTCACATGACTTACCATAGAGTGTCTGATGCTCTCACATGACTTACCATAGAGTGTCTGATGCTCTCACATGACTTACCATAGAGTGTCTGAATGGCATGTTCTCACATGACTTACCGTAGAGTGTCTGATGCTCTCACATGACTTACCATAGAGTGTCTGATGCTCTCACATGACTTACCATAGAGTGTCTGATGCTCTCACATGACTTACCATAGAGTGTCTGAATGGCATGCTCTCACATGACTTACCATAGAGTGTCTGATGCTCTCACATGACTTACCGTAGAGTGTCTGAATGCCGTTGATATCATCTTGAGGCAGGGAGTAGGTGCTGGGCTCATTGTAAGCATAGTTGGGATACATCAAGGCGCCAGGATCAGAAGAGTGAGAGAGTCCCAAGGAATGGCCAAATTCGTGAGCAGCCACCAGAAACAGGTTGTAATCTGAAGTGCAAGGAAATATGGTGAATTCTCTAACTGGCTCCACAGATGGCAGAGTATGACCTTGAGGCTGAAACTACCCAGGAAGGACACTTTCATAAGTTCATCTTTTTCTTTTTCTCTTCAGGTACCTAAAGAAAGGCAATTAGGAGACATCAAAGTAGATGCCATAGCTTCTTATCAAATTTCAGAGCTGATGAAATCTGCCTTTCTTCCAACTGCCACGTTTTATGGGTGTGGAAAGCTAGTGAAATGGCGGCAGAGCTGTGGCTCTCAGCATGGTGAAATCTGTTTCTCGTGTACTCAGCATCCTCTGACCCTCAGGCTCATTAGTAGAGTCTCCAAGGAGAAGACAGGAAGGAGCTTGCCTCTTGGCCACAGGATTGGAATACACTGCCCTCACCTCTTTTCCTCACTCAGGCAGCCCAGCCCTCGTGTAAGGAGGCTCTTGAAAGGGATGCACTGTAACACAGACACACACTGCTGAGAAGGGAGACACAGTAGCTGCTAAGAGAGGAGGTGGCTGCTCTTTGAACAGGCTAACTTATCAAATGAACTCTGTAGTCCAACACTTCCAAAATGTCAAGAGCAGGCCTTTTCAAACATTAAACTCAGACTATTGGAGAGGGAGGGGGAGCAGAAAGAGGAAGGAGGGATGGAGGGATGGAGGGAGGGATGGAGGGAGGGAGGGATGGAGGGAGGGAGGGATGGAGGGAGGGATGGAGGGAGGAAGGGATGGAGGGATGGAGGGATGGAGGGAGGGAGGGATGGAGGGAGGGAGGGAGGGATGGAGGGAGGGAGGGATGGATGGAGGGAGGGAGGGAGGGATGGATGGAGGGAGGGATGGAGGGAGGGAGGGAAGGATGGATGGAGGGAGGGAGGGAGGGATGGAGGGAGGGAGGGATGGAGGGAGGGAGGGAGGGAGGGATGGAGGGAGGGAGGGAGGGATGGAGGGATGGAGGGAGGGAGGGAGGGAGGGATGGAGGGAGGGAGGGATGGAGGGAGGGAGGGATGGAGGATGAATGGAGGGAGGGATGGAGGGAGGGAGGGATGGAGGGAGGGAGGGATGGAGGATGAATGGAGGGAGGGATGGAGGGAGGGATGGAGGGAGGGATGGAGGGAGGGATGGATGGAGGGAGGGAGGGAGGGATGAATGGAGGGATGGATGGAGGGAGGGAGGGATGGAGGGAGGGATGGATGGAGGGAGGGAGGGATGGAAGGAGGGAGGGAGAGAGAGAGAGGGAGAGAGAGGGAGAGGATGAGTGTGGCCTCTCTCGGTGCAGCCTTGTGTGCACACCCAGGGCCTGCACAGGGTCTGGCTGTGGTTCCCAATGCTAGGTTCCCTTCCCTGCCTGCTGACTTGTGAAGGCTTCTTTCAGAGGTCATGTGTTAGAAAGTGAAGCAGTGATCCTGATGGGAACGGCTCTGGAATGATGCTGCTGTGAGAAGGGCTAGTGGCTTCAGCTTCACTGATTTGGTCTCCGCTGACCTTCTACCATGTAAAGATGCATTAGCAAGAACCTCAACCCCGGGCTTTCCAGTGCCTTAAAACCCGGAGACAGGGTCTGCCACTCATCATTTAGTTAGCGTCATTTATCCTGAGACAGTGACACACATGGACTTCGGCTCTGTGTGGGAAATGAGGTCAACAATTAGCTTCTGATTGTTTTTTGTCTTGTTTTGTTTTGTTTTGTTTTTGAGATAGGGTTTTTCTGTGTAGCCCTGGCTGTCCGAGAACTTGCTCAGTAGACCAGGCTGGCCTTAAACTCAGAGCTCCACCTGCCTCTTCCCCGACAAGATTAAAGACATGCACCACCACAGCCTGGCTTGATAGTTTTTCTTGGCTCTAAGTTGATTTATCTTTAAGTAACAAAAATGTAAATGGATGATTTGTGTGTTTGAAATATTATAGTAATGCAAATGGATGTTTATTTGTGAACACATATCTTGCTTTTAATGTGGAAAGGGGGAATTTAGAAGCTACATGTGAACCCACTTACTTCTGGAATCTTGAGTCCACGTTTCTTCTGAATCAAAATGGGCATCTCCTCCAATACCCTGACCCGGCTGAAAGGCATGGGCAAGGATCCCATTGGGTCCATCAAAGGGAGAATTGTCACCATGCTCTGAAATGAGATGGCTTACGGTTAAGCCTCTGCCTGTAGTCTCAGGTTAGCTAGGGAAAGCAAAATCCTTTGAGGCTACCTCTTGGGACAAAAGCAATGTTGATGTCTGCTTCTCCTTTTGAGATCTCGGTGAAGGTCAGGGGTGATGCCGCACTCCACACTTGCAAGGCTTTCCTTATGGCTGTTTTCACTGCGGCCTCTGACAACTGTGGGGTATGGTTTCTAATCCTTGAAAGTAAGAGCGAGAACGCCCTGTTATGGGCAATACCTTTGAATTACACAGTCACTCACTCCATTCTGGAGTGAGCTGCGTTTTCAATATGCTCCCACTTGGACAGAACACCAGCGTCCCCATTTATAAGATGAATACGATACTTTAAGATCCCTCTCATAGGTGGCTAAGGGAATTAAATACACAGGGAGCACTTAGTTGGTTGCTTGACAAGTAGTACTCCACAGATCCTACTATTATTTCTGTCCCCAAACATACAAGGAGGGCCCCAGATTCTCTCCGGCACTCAATAAGCCTCTTTGGACTTGGACTGCTACAGAGAGGCAGTCTCCTGCTGCCACAGGCATTTTAGATTGCCGGAGAGAGGCGATGCGGCGAGCTTTGCGGGTGAAAGACCCAGGGCCTTCTGCTTTCTCATCATCATGCTCCCTCCCCAGTTCACACTCCACTCACCCACTCCCCACACTCATTCATACTCTGCAAGGGAAGGGTGTTTGCCCATTCATCCCCAGTGGATCCCAAGGTCTGCAAGCAATGTCCCGGCTTTCACAGGCTCTGATACATCACTAGCCGGGTCGATGCATCAGAGGACTCTAGGAGTGTTACCTGTAGGTCAGGTCAGTGTGTGCCCACTTGGGGCTGCCTGGGGTTAGCATGAAGTCACCAGAGTCAGGCACTCCACATCGAGGCTTCCTCATCATCTCCAGAGTAGCTGTATCTGCCTTCCCCGTCTCAGCCAGGCCAAAGAAGCGCTGCATTTCCTTCAGCTTCTCTGCAACCATTGTGCTGTTCCTCCTTGCGGACCGAAATTGACTGCTTGGTAAGTGGTAGAATTTTTGTAGGTATTTCTGATCAAAATAAGCACAAGAGTCTTTGCTGTGAAATTGCCTTGGGTGTTGTGGACGTTTTGCAATTCTTTCTAAGTCACCACATAGTGCAAACAGGTCCTGACGACACAGGGGCAATAACAGAAATTGTAGGCTGGGCCAGTGTGCTGGCTCAGTGGGCAAAAGTGCACACTGCCAAGCCCGACACGCCAAGATCAACCCTCAACACCCACACGGCAAAAGGGGCGCTGACTCTTACAAGTTTGCTCTGACTGCCATGCATGTGCTGTGCATGCAATGCCTTCCACATATAAATAAATACATTTAAATAAAATAAAAAGATCCTAGATGGACTTTGAAAAAACAGTGCCCGTTGAGCATCCCTCCATTCATTGATCTAACTACCTTTTATTGTTTTGTTTGTTTGTTTGAGACAGGGTTTCTCTGTGTAGCCTGGGCTGTCCTGGAACTCACTTTGTAGACCAGGCTGGCCTCGAACTCACAGAGATCCATCTGCCTCTGCCTCCTGAGTGCTGGGATTAAAGGTGTGTGCCACCACTACCCAGTGAGAATCTAACTACTTCTTAGCACAAAAATTAAAGTCTTACAACAGGAGAGGAATGAATCCAAACCTCACACAAACACCTTGCTTTATTATTATGTGAACAATTAGCAGCAGCTTTTTGTTTTTACATCTGTTGGGGTGTTAGTCTCAAGAGCAAGGATTCTTCTTTTTTAAAATCCCTTTTAGCTAATGGCGAGAGTTCAGTCATCCTCACAGAGAAATGAGGATACCAAGAAGCAAGTGACATTTCAGGTCCTAGTTCACTACGCCATCTCTCAAATGAGGAGTGGTAGTCTCAAAAGGTATGTGTGATAACAGTAGCAGTCTATTCACCAAGACAATGTCCTGGAAGGGGCCAACTCTCATTCAGAAGTACTGTTTGTGAGGGCTGTAACACGTCAATCAACAGCAAGGGTTCTTCGCCTTAACATATGTAGCCTATGTGTATATTCTGCGTGCCGTTTGTGTGTGTGTTTGTGTGTGTGTGTGTGTGTGTGTGTGTGTGTGTGTGTGTGTGTGTGTGTGTGAGACCACCTGGTACTTTGGAGATGACAGAAGAGCTCACATTTTGAAATCTGACAGGCTTAAGCAAATCCTAGTACGTTCTTTTGTCTCTGACATGGAGAAAAACAAGATGTGCTTAGAGGGTCAGCTTCTACAGAATAAACTTCACCCACCCTGAGTATAACCTTAGGGATTACTGTGCCACTCACAAAAATTACCAAGAAAAGAAAGAGCAAGAAGGACGCTTTGCAGAAATTTCAGTATAAGAAAATTATGCACAAGAAATTTGTGATCACCTTCCTTTGCATAAAAACAAAAAGCAAGCAAAGAAAACCAACATGCCTCACTATACAGTATACTGACTTTAATTCCTTATAACCCACCCCAATCTCTAGTCTATCTTCTACCCATCATAGTGCTTCTGGCTGCAAAGAAACATCCACACAGGAAACAGTAGGCAGGTCATCATCATTGGATGGCCCCTCACGGTTGTTTTTTGTGTGGGAACACTAGCAAGCATTCTATCAGCCTAGCACTGACCGATAGAGCACAGAACAACTTGGCTACAGGGTTCCTGGAAGAGGAAAACATTAGGTAAAAACTTCAGTTAGTGTTATAAATAAACACACTCTCTCTGACAGGGGCGCAGGCACAGCAGACAGCAGTGGTCCTCAGCCTTGAAAGCCTCCACTGTTTTCACAACTAGATTCTCCTGGGCCTCACCTCATCAGCTTGGAGTCCTCCAAGTCCCAGCAGGTGCTGCTGAGCCTCACACAAGGCATCCAGAAAATCTCTTTCTGGCTGTTTAGATCAAGAAGGGGAAGCCACCCTCTGAATTCTGCAGCCATCTGCAAACACCCACCAATGAGAGTTCGTTTACCTCAACAGTTTTTATGTTTTCCTCTTCCAGATCTTCAGGAGGCACCGGAAAGGCCTTGGCAAGCTGTGTGTGGAGTAAGAACAGAAACGGAAACATCTTCAGACAAAGCATGACCTTTCCTTCCAAGACAACCTCTCCTGCTTTCCTCTGCCTGTCTGGCAAGAGCCCTGAAGCTCCCAGCATCCCTTGCCAATCAGTGCTCTTGTCTGGTCTCTTATAAAGCTGCACCTTGAGCAACGGCTGCCTCAGCAGAGTGAAGCAATGCAGTTAACCAGACTCAGATAGTTCTGCAATGTTCGAATGTGTTTCGGAACCTAAGAGTGGGGTGGTCCTTCAACAGGGGAAACGAATATGGGTTGCTACTGAAAGCTGCCAAGAACAGGAGGTGGCGGCCGAAGGTGATGTGTGTGTGTGTGTGTGTGTGTGTGTGTGTGTGTGTGTGTGTGTGTGTGTGTTGGGGAGGGGGCTTTCTATGGCTAGTTGGCCAGCCAGCCTAGTGTCACAAAACAAACAAAACCCATATGACAGCATTTAAGGAATGGTGCTCAAGGTTGTCCTCTGGCCTGCACATACATGTGAATGTACACACAAACATGGACATTTAAATGCACACATGAGTATACATAAACAGTGGCATCTGTAGGGCATGGCTTTGCCACAATGTACTAATACATTCACTATCCATAAGGAGGTTCTTTTTTTTTTTTTTCCAGAGAAGGGACAAAGATTGGGATATTTATGACACAAACTAACATTTGTTAATGTTGACAATGTTTCACACATGTTCATGTTCATTCCACCTACATTCCCGTCTCCTCTCACACATCTGGAGGAGAAGCAGAGGTCACAAGTTCCATTGTGGAGGACTCAGCCCCAAGGGTACAGAGAGAGAGAGAGAGAGAGAGAGAGAGAGAGAGAGAGAGAGAGAGAGAGAGAGAGAGAGAGAGAGCCCATCCGATGGTTCATCAACCCCCCATTTGGATCCCAGGCTGGACCACCAGTACCCGCGGGCTCACATCGAGTAGAGAAGCAGCCCGGATTCCTGGATGAAAGACAAGGGAGACCATGATACTGATGTCTTGCACCGTCTTCACTGTTCTCTCCGCCCACCTGGCCGCCCACACCGGGGTTCCGGGGTCGAAACCGTGTCTTCATCTTTGCAAGCCAAGAAGTGCTTCACAGATTATGTTATCTTCTCAGTCCCTAAACTGAACTATAAAATGGATTTAAAATGGATTTTACAGAGGTGTCTAGGACATAAGCATTCAGTACAATTTTCATGCTCTGTGATGAACATGGCAAAGGAGAACCAGCGGCCCCACTTGGAAGCCTGAGCTCAAAGGAAGCGTCCAGGCCTTGTGTCTTCCACTCCACTCCCAGTGGGCTCCATTGTTTTCCTTATCCTGCTACACATGCACAGTTCCGGAGCTGGGACTGAGGTGAGGGTGTCATCACCTGAGTGTCCCCACCTCGCCTCTCTTTCCCTGCCTTCTTCTCCTATCTCCCCTCTGCGCCCCCTCCATCCACTCCCCCATTTCTATTCGGAGGCCAAGCCTCCCTGAGGCATTTCCTTTGCTTTCTGGCTATTGGGCGCCCCCTGCTGGCCACAGGGAATATCATTAATCCCCTTCATTTACCTCCTTTTCTCTTGTGTTCTCCTCTCTTGTACCCTTCCTCTCCTGCCCTCCTTTCTCCCTCCCTTTCCCCTTCCATGTCTTTAACATCCTCTCTTACTCCTTTATGGGATTGTCATGAAGGATATTGCGAAGGTTACAGATGAAGGGACACACAGAGAGGAGTAGAAGGCACATGGCTCTCTTATGCCCTATGTCTACTCAGATACCTGTCTTCCCTCCCTTCCTCCCTCCCTCCCTCCCTCCCTCCCTTCGCGCGGCTTTTCTGTGTAGCTCTGGCTATCCTAGAACTAGCTCTGTAGACCAGGCTGGTCTAGAACTCACAAAGATTCACCTGCCTCTGTCTCCCGAGTGCTAGGATTAAAGATGTGCGCCACCATTGCCTGGCCATCTTCTCGTTTTTGATAGAGATTAGTTGCATATGCAGAATTGCTAACAGATTGTGTGGGGAAATTCAGCAAGCCTTGTCTATCTAGACTGCTCTTGTCTACAATGCGTTGTTGCAGAATGTTTGTTTGCACTGTGTGAGGATGCGTCACTGTGATTGGTTTAATAAGGAGCTGAATGGCCAATAGCTGGGCAGGAGAGAGTAGGTGGGCTCTCTGGGGACAGAGAGGATTCTGGGGCAAAGAGAAGCAGGGAGAAGCTAGAGAGATGTGGGCCGAGTAGGACATACAGAATGATGGAGAGGTAAAAACAGCCACGTGGTAGAACATGGGTTAAAAAAAATATGGGTTAATTAAGTGATAAGAGCTAGCCTCAGCTAAAGGCCAAACTTATCTAATAAGAGGTCTCTGTGTTGTTATCTGTGGCTGATGGTCCCCATGAGAGAGTACAACTCTAATGTGAACACCCAGAGAGAGGTTACTCAAGGTTCTGTTATGTTTTCTTTTGTAGCAGTCATTTAGCACAGTGACAGGCAGACATGCATGGGTGCTTGGCTGTGGATCTCTGCATCTGACTCCATCAGTTACTGGGTGAAGGCTCTATGATGACAGTTACGGTGGTCGCCAATCTGATTACAGGGGATGGCCAGTTCAGGTACTGTCTCCACTATTCCTGGGAATTAATTCCCCGAGCTTCAGGTTATTCCCTAACTCCAAAATGGCCCCTTCTATCAAGATATCTCAGGGGATGGGATGGGAGTTGGTGGGGGAACAGGAGAGGACAGGAGGGCCTGGGAACTGGGATTGACATGCAAAACAAGCTTGTTTCAAATTTAGATTAAAAAAAGGAAAAGAAAAAAGATATCTCTTTCATTGTTCTCCCCCAATGTGGCCATCCCGTTCCCTCATACCCCTACCCCGCTCCCCTCCACTCACAAGTTACCCAGGAGACTTTATCTATTTCCCCTTCCTAGGATGACTCATGTGTGACACTCTTAGGGTCCTCCTTGATACATAGCTTCTGTGAGCTGTAGATTGTCGCCTGGTTATCCTTTTTACACCAAGTACCCACTTATGAGTGAATACATACTGTGTTTGTCCTTTTGGGTCTGGCTTAGCTCACTCAGGATGATTTTTTTCTAGTTCCATCCATTTGCCTGCAAATTTCATGATGTCATTGTGTTTTACAGTTGAGTAGTACTCCATTGAGTAAATGTATCACATTTTCTTTACCCATTCTTCAGTTGAGGGGCATCGAGGTTGTTTCCAGGTTCTGGCTCTTATGAATAATGCTGCTATGAACATAGTTGAATAGATGTCCTTGTGGTATGACTGCACATTCTTGGGGTATATGCCCAAGAGTGGAATTGCTGGGTCTTAAGGTAGATTGATTCTCATTTTTATGAGGAACCACCATACTGATTTCCAAAGTGGCTGTGCAGGTTTGCACTCCCTCCGGCAATGGAGGAGTATTCCCCATTCTCTACATCCTCTCCAACCTAAGCTGTAGTCCATGTTTTAGATCTTAGCCATTCAGACAGGTGTAAGATGGTATCTCAGAGTTGTTTTGAGTTGCATTTGCCTGATGATTAAGGATGTTGAGCAATTCCTTAAATGTCTTTTGGCCATTTGAGATTCTTCTGCTGATAATTCTCAGTTTAGATCAATTTAATCCATTTCTTAATTGGGTTATTTAGTATTTTGATATCTAGTTTCTTGAGTTCTTTGTATATTTTGGAGATCAGCCCTCTGTCAGATGTGGGGTTGGTGAAGATCTTTTCCCAGTCTGTGGGCTGCTGTTTTGTCTTGTTGACTGTGTCCTTTGCCTTACAGAAGCTTTTCAGTTTCAGGAGGTCCCATTTATTGATTGTTGCTCTCAGTGTCTATTCTAGTAGTATTATATTTAGGAAGTGGTCTTCTGTTCCATTGCTTTCAAGGCTACTTCCCACTTTCTCCTCTATCAAGTTCAGTGTAACTGGATTTACATTGAAGTCTTTGATCCACTTGGACTTGAGTTTTGTGCGTGGTGATGGATATTGATCTATTTGCATTCTTCTATGTGTTGATATCTAGTTATGCCAGCACCATTTGTTGAAGATGCTTTCTTTTTCCCATTGTACAATTTTGGCTTCTTTATCAAAAATCGGGTGTTCATAGGTATGTGGATTAATGTTAGGGTCTTTGATTCAATTCCATTGATCCACATGTCTGCTTTTATACCAATATCAAGATATTTTCATTACTATAGCTCTATAGTAGAGCTTGAAGTCAGGGGTGATTCCTCTGGAAGTTCCTTTATTGTACAGGATTGTTTTAATTATCCTGAGTTTTTTGTTTTCCATATAAAGTTGAGTATTGTTCTTTTGAGGTCTGTGAAAAATTGTGTTGGGATTTTGATGGGAATTGCATTAAATTTGTAGATTGCTTTTGGTAAGATTGTCATTTTTGTTATATTGCTCCTACCTATCCAAGAGCATGAGAGATCTTTTCATTTTCTGATATCTTCTTTAATTTGTTTCTTCAAAGACTTAAAATTTTTTTCATACAGGTCTTTCACTTGTTTGGTTAGAGTTACTTTAAGATATGTTATATTATTTATGACTATTGTAAAGTTTGATGTTTCTCTAATGTCTTTTTTAGCCTGTTTTTCATTTGTATATACTGCATTTGTATATTTTGTATATGCTACATTACTGAAGGTGTTTATCAGCTGATAGAATTTTTGGGGTCACTTATGTTTACTATGATATTTGCAAATAGCAAAAATTTGGCTTTTTCCTTTCCAGTTTGTATCCCCTTGATCATCTTTTGTTGTCTTATTACTCAAGCTAGGTTTCCAAGCAGTATACTGAATAGATAGAGAATGGACAGCCTTGTCCTGTTCCTGATTTTACTGAAATTGCTTTATTATGTTTATGCATGTTCCTTCTATCCCTGTTTCTCCAAGATCTTTATCAGGAAATAGTGTTGAATTTTGTCAAATGTTTTTTTGTCCGAGTCTAATGAGGAGATCATGTGATATATATATATATATATATATATATATATATATATATATATCATTGACAGATTTTCATATGTTGAACGATAGCTATCCCTGCATCTCTGGGATGAAGCCTACTTACTCATGGTGGATGATTTTTTTTTCTTTTTTATGTCTTCTTGGATTCAGTTCGCCAGTATTTATTGAGTACTTTTGCATCAA